CTACTGCTGCCTCAACAGCAGGTGGGTAATAACAGAGTTGACAATCTAAAAAGCTAAATGTTTCACTTTAGCATCCCTACTTTATCACTGCTACCAAATGAGACAACAGAAGTGGAATTACCGCAGTTGTATTATTACATCAAATCATAAAGTGCAATTAAGTACCATTAGACAGCCTTGCATAAGTATTCACCCCCCTTAGATTTTTCCCCAAAGTTACCTTTTCATTGTATTGGGCTTCTTACCATTTAATTAACACAACATGCATAGTGCTTTGAAGGGGCAAAATACTTTTTGTTGTGACAGAAACAATAATTTTGACAAAAAATCAGTTTGTATGGAGTCAACTGCAATTTTAGCTGCAAGTGTTTTAGGTCTCTACCAGCTTTGCAAATCTATAGACTGTTTTTTTTTCTGTTCTTCTTGGAAAAATAGCCCAAACTCAGTCAGACTGAACGGACACAGCAATTTTCAAGTTTCACCACATATTCTCAGTTAGATTGAGATTAATACCATGAAATCATTCCAGTTTATCTATATATGCTTCTCAAATCTCTTGCAGACAAAAACAGGTTTTCTTCAATAATTGCCCTGTATTGACTGTCCTCATTCCTTACCAGTATCCCAGTACCTGCTGATGAAAAACATCCCCACAGCACTGCCACCATCGTGTTTCACTGTGGTATGCTTAGTGTTGGGTTTAAGCCAGACATTGTGTTTTGCCCCAGGCCTAAAACCTTCAACTTTGGTCTCATCTGACCAGAGCACCTTCTTCCACATGTTTGGTGTGTCTCACACATGGCTTGTGGCAAACTCCAAACAGGATTTCCTATGGCTTTCTTTGAGAAATGGTTTTCTAGTCACCACTCTTCCGATGAACGATATTCAGTGCTTTGGATATTTTTTAATACCTAACCCTGCTTTCCACAATTTTATCCCTGCCCCGTTTGGTGAGCTCCTTGGTCTTTGTGATGCTGTTTGGGGGGGTTAAATGCTTATGCAAGGCACTGTATATGTTTTACTATAAGATAAAAGTGACATTGATTTATTAATTATGGACTCTTGAAGAATAACAGTTTGGAGCTTTTATCATTATCTCCTAATGGTAAGAGAAAGAAGAAAGAGATGGAAATGAGCTCATTATATGTGGTCAAATCATCTGTGATGCATTCAATCTAAGCAGAGATAAACAATAAAATATAATTTTATTGACATGGCAAAGGCAAACTGGTCAGTTTCAGTATTATTCAGAATTTTATATGTGTGGTCCCTGGTCTATTGGTCTGTTAGACACTAAAATGTAGAATCTATCAAATGATGAGGTTCCTTTTCAATAATTTTAAGACATGACAGTTATTACAAAATATTTTTAAAAGTATTTTTCAGTGAATAGTGAGTGTCTTCATCACTCAGTGTTTAAAAGGGTACCTAATAAAAATATCATCTAATGATTTTTGGTGTATCAATGGATACAGCCTCAATGCATTAGGAAACGATCCCCAGCCAGGATCTCAAGTACAAGTCAGATTACTGTTACTGTAATGCTCTCACTATAAATACTGTACTTCCACACCAATTTACCTTTTTTTCATCACTGCACAAACATTTAAACATGCTTCATTAACTGCCTTTTTATTTTAGAAGCCTCAGGGGCACTTGAATACAATCGCATCTCAGCTGAAGAGCCAACATTTAGAACAGTACTGTATACAGTATGTGCTGCTTTTTGCAAAAGAAGACATGCACCATTTCTTAGAAAATATAGTTATTCAAGGAATGCCAACCAAAAATACCTTAAAGACAGATTTACTTGTATTTATTGTCCATCTGTTATTCTTTCTCCACTTGCTCCGTTTGCCAACTCACCAGGTTTCGAGCTGGCTTCAAGCGAGCTTTTCGTTGGTGCCCATTCATCAAGGTTTCCAGCTACGACGAATTGGAACTCCGGTCTACACGGCTGCACCCAACACGCCAGAGCAGCATGTACACACTGTCACGAATGGATACCACCATGGTGGTGGTTTACGACCCTGCCGAAGGCGATGGTGGTGCTGGTGGTGGCTCTGGAAGAAAGCACTCTCTGTCCGCTAGGAAGAAAAGCTACGTCACGTCTCGTCACACGGAGATCACTGGGTGCAACGGTAGCAGCACGAAAACACAAAATGGAGGGGCTCCAAACGCTGAACCTGAAGAGTTCTCTTGAAGGGTGTTCTCATAGACTTACACACAGACATATGCGTGTAAGAAATGTATTCACATGCATAATACACTGTATGTACAAATGGTGCACAGATGTTTGCTTAATTTTAGACGTAGAAGCATTGTATCAAGGCGGAAGTGGTTACTTTAACTTGCAGAGAATGACCAAATTGATATAGAGATTATTTTGTATTTTACATTGATGGATAATATTATTTTTTTTATATACTCTGGAGCATGGATGGATTACTGAGCTGGCTTACCAGGCAAGTGAATGTTACAAGCAGTTCTCATTAAAAAGTCACACAGCTCAGTAGGGATTACTTTTTTTTTGGCTCCTGAATCTTATATATAGTGAACAGAGATTAAGTGAAGCAATTCAAATATGTTTGACAGCTTTAAGAAAACACAGCATGGTGTTTCTAGTGGTTTCCAATAAGATTTGTGTATTATCCTAAAGTATCAGCAGTGTCAGTGTGTCTGAAACCGAGGTATGACTCGCCTTACTCTGCCTCTGATTGGCTTGTACTTGTTGTCTTTGTTGGTTAGGTTGGATATGTTTAGGCACTAGGAGGGAGATAAAGGTTAGAGTAAGAATGTTAGGGCAAGCCAATCAGAGGCAGAGTAGGACAGCTCATGCGTGCACCATCCTTGGAAAAGAAAAACATATCGTTTAATGTCCGGGCCTCACTTTATAACGTTATTCACTGATATGGATGAAACTGGATTACATTTTATTGAGAAAATATTTTCTGGTTTTAGTCCTCTGGTTGCTCAGCTACAACTCTTGGTGATTTTGCTTTCTTGATAGACAGATAGCTTTAACTTACTTGTTGCTATTTGCTTCATTAACTGTTGCTAACTGTAGCTGTCGTTGGTTTGCACTGGAACCAGGCTCAGCAGCCTCCCAGTGAAGACCAGGAGATTTACGGAGTTTAAAGGGTAACTTCGGCAGATTTTTACCCTAGTCTTGATCACTAGAGGTCACCGAGTACTGTCGATAGGAAAAAGAACGACCAGAATTGGTTCTAGCAAACTGGAACTGCCTGCGCTAATTGGGTTGAGCCTCGCCAGTTACGTCGTATAATACACTTCTTGGGGGCATACTCCTAAAGAGTGCCTTTTGCTCCCTCCTTAACAGAGCACAAGAATGTAATTAAGAATGTCGGTTGGCAAGGACATGCATTCAAGGGCCTACGGACAAAGCACATGCCTTTGTAACATCATACATTGTGCAGAAACCGTACAAAACAGTACTGTCGCCTACATGTTTTTCCACCGCTCGCTGACAGTCTGTTCAGTCCCGGTCTGGCCATGTTCCCAGACAGGGCTGGACCTAGAAGTGGAGCTGGACTAGGTCAAGCTCTTCAGTGAACAGCCTCTCCTCTGCACCTCCAATGTAAACAAACTGAAGTTCAGGATTTTTTCTCAACCAACAGCATAGCTGTAGAGTTCAGGTTAACCTGCAAAATAGCCCAGAAAAAGATGCAAAACGCCCCCTAGTGACTGGGGATGGGGTGGGTGTTACTGTGGTTGGGGCCCTTTAAATGTCTGTGCCCAGGGGCCTGTTGTCTCATAATCTGTCCATGCTCAGGAGCAGCCTTAACAACATACGAGGTGAACAATGCTTACCTTGTGCATGATCATCTAAAGACCAGGCACTTTGCCTTTTAGTGGCACGTTCAGGTTTTTGCCTTATCCAATCAGCGTCCCTCTGTATTAATGAAATACTGTAAGTAGCTGTTCCTTATTCTTCATCCAAACATTCAGCTCTGACTGAGATTAGGATAGAAACACATTGCACTGCTGTTTTGCTAAGGTCTCACCCCAAGAGTTAGAATGGTTTATAATGAATCAGTTCTGCTTAGAGATTCACTATTAGAATAAATGTTAGGATGGTAAGACAATCTCACAATAGAGATAATCTAAAAATGTGTCATGGTGATTGTAATTATGTAAGTATAGTTTAATTTCAATCTGTAAGTATTAACTGTGAGCTTTATGTTCTAGAGGGTGCACTCTATTTCCCCCCTGAAGTCACGAAGTTACCAATGGAATTAGTTGTTGATTGAACTCTGGCGCTATATGTGGCTCTGAGTTTGGCTCTGAAAGTACTGAAACTGAGTTTGGCTTTTGTTATGTAACATGTAAGGAACATGTTTTCTGACAACTGGCGACAGGCCAAAGGCAAAATCCATACATACATTTGTAGCATGTCAATAAACAGACTGTTGGAGAATGGCAGGCTGAAAGTTAACTAACCAACTAGGACTTAGTAGATCAATTATACACTTTTTACATTTTTAACTAAACATACAGAATGCTGCACAGTGAAGTGTGGCAAACCTTTCGTTTTATTGTTCTGTTATGTTCTTTTAAATGCCTCCACACAATGTGTCATCAGAAAGCAGGACAGTTGTCGTCATTTGCAGTTCTTGGTGTTTCAGTAGTTTTTTTGCAGCATGCTGTTATTCTGTGTTGCCTTTTAATTTAATTTCCTGCTTGTGTGCACAAGTGTGCAAACCGCACCAAGCATTAAAGCTAGCCTGTGCCATGTTGGGTTTACAATAAAAAAAGTGGAACCATACTGTGACAAGTACGATTATATAAACCATAGGAACAGTGTGTCCCCTCTGACTCACTACACAACACACCAACATGACCATGGAAAACAGTGAGAAAACTGTTACTGGATGTGCTTATGAGTGTCACTGGTAGGAATAATTGTTTTGTTTTTCAGAATCAGAATCAGAATCAGAATTTTGTTTATTGCCAAGTAGGTTTTTACGCCTACGAGGAATGTGGACCTGGTGCAGTTGGTGCATATATACACATATACAAATAAAATATATCAAATATACAATTATTCAAATCACAAAATCACACAGAAAAATAAAGCACTTACAAAAAAAAAATAGATAAAATAAGAAGAGAAAGAGAAGCTGTGCAAAAGAACGTGGGTGCATTAATGTAATGCATACTTTTAATATACAGGGTGGGTATAAGAATAGTCAATGACAGTGGGTAATCCGGGCCTTGTTAAGGAGGCCAGCTGCAGACGAGAAGAGTTGTTACCAGTGTTATTGGTGTATATTTTTTTTTATTCCACCAAACAGATCATCTTTAAAGACCGCAAAATATTTTTAAAATAATGTATTGAGTGTCCTGTTAGTTGCAGTAAAAGCTGAATTTTCACAGTTTGTGATGGCAGGTTAAAGATTCTGAGACATTCATTTTATTAAAAATTAAAGTTCAAAGCTTCTAGATTGACAAGCAATTACAAACGGAAGACACATTATAATGTTCCTTAATTATTCTTACCAACAGTTCTGAATGTTCAGACTTCATGAAAGTATTTACTCAAGAATGTGAAGAAAAATATGTTGTGCATTTCAGTGTCATGTATTTTTAAGCTGTTGTCTAATCTTTATATTGAAGTTGGTTAAATATTTGTATGTGGTAGTATCAAGTTTCTCTGTAAAAAATATTATGTGTTTTGTATGAATGTACAATGTACAATGTGTGCCTCTATCTCTGTCAAGTGGTGATCAAATTATTTGCTGTATCTTTACAGGATAGCTAGTTAATTTTCATCCTGAGCCTCATTTCTTTGTCCTTATCCCACACAATCAATTGTGATCACTTTACTTTGCAGGAAGCACTGCTTTCACCACTGAAAGACAAGACTCAGGTTGAAAATAACTTGTATAATCCTTTAAACAAATAATTATGCTGTTATTATTGCTGATGATTAATGTTAATTTCAGATGAGGAATTGTAGGAACGCTTTGCTATTGACGATAAGTGAATTCAATATTGTATTTCTTATAGTAAGACCTTCAATGGTTTTTCATTGCTCTGCATTGGTTAGTATGGGTCATGTATTTGCTTAATGTAGCTTTATTGCAACAGTCTTACTTACAGTATCATGAGTGTTTACAAGTGACACAACATGCTTGTGATGAAATGTAGCTGTGACGTGTTGCAAATGCAGTCAGATTTTAGAGAAAAGAGGAAATAAAATAAACTGAGCAATAGTTTTTTGTTTTATGATAGTTGTCAGAAACAATGCAAGCTATTGTAATAGTCCGCAACTTTGAAGTATCTCTTGTATGTATTCGATCCTATGGAAGCAAACTGCATTCATGAGAGAATGATGCAGTTATCTTCTACGACATCTCATAATTACAACTAAACATTTTTTGTAATTATGTGTTTTCATAATTACAAAATCTTTATCTTGTTATTGTGATATACTTCCATATTGACCTCTACCCAGCTTAGTTAAACATTTAACATGTGTTGTTGTAAATACTTGTGAACAGGATGCCCATATGGGAAAACCCACAGCCATATATAATCATACAGGCTTGTTGCTAAAAGGAGAACATTTAAGGAAAAAGACAAAGATTAAAGTTAGGGTAGGTAATGTATTTCAAAAGCATGTTTTGTTATATTGGTTAAAATTTTCTCAACATCCTGACTACACTTATTAAATCAAATCGAATTAATAAAATGTACGATTAAAATCAGTTAGATGTTACTAAAGCTACCAAGCTAGTCACACAAGAAGAGAAAGAGCATCCGAATTTTTCAATTTAGTTACACCTTTACCTATAACAGTTTGTTATGCCAAACAAAGAAAGTTGAAAAGGCTACAAGCAAAAAGTTTAGATACAGTTTTTTAATGATGCAAAACTTGAGGTTCCTGTCCTGTTTAGGTTTGTTTTGTGGGGAATTTGTTATTTTCCTGAACTATATATGAAAGAGACATGAGGTAGTTGGATACAATTAGCAATGACCACAATGCGCTGTGCTCCTCTCCCCAAGAGTCTGTGTGTTTGGCGAGTAGCTTTTTTAGCCATCTCTTGCTAGTGTCTCCGACATGACCTACCCTAGCTTTAATTGATACTACTGCCTTTCACAAATTAAAATTCGCACCAAAATATGTTCAACGTGTATAATATATCCTCTCTATGTATATACTCTGTCTGAAGAGTAAAACACAGACTTGTCAACAGCTCAGTTATTATGCTTACATATTTTTTGGTTTAGACGCTGCTGTCAGACCACTTCAATGCAGCACAATGAATCACCAAAGGAGTCACCAAAATTGAGATCAACACAAATGTTGCAGATTAACATTATTATAACATTAGGCTGACCTTTAGTAAAGTGTCAATATGTGTTGTTGTCTCTGTCTTGCTATACAATATTGGTTAATAAACGATTCTGTAACACTGGAGCTGAAGGTTGTCCAGTGCCAGCTGCTAATACGTTCATGTGTTGCCTGTGTTATCATAAGAGGCAATCTGTCAGGGGAAATATCAAAAGATTTTCAACTTTATTGATCCCACACTGGGGTAACTCACTTGTTACACAGCTGCAGATACAACACAACACAATACAAGAAGAGTGATAGATAAGCAAATATAGAAAGTAGAAGATGTAATGTAATATAAATAATAAGTTTTAAGTGATATATATAAGTTATTCATGCTATACATGCTATTTATATATTCTCTATTGCATAGAGAGATAACTGAGTACATTTGATTAAATGTGTGCACAGTGACCTACAGTACAAAAAGTCAAGACAGCTGTATGAGCGAGGATACCAGGTTTCACAGTGAGACAGCTCTCGTTATGTTGCTCTTTTATCTGAGCTGTCAAAGCAAAAGTGACCTTTCTTTACAAATTACAAGTTACGCTGCATGGATATAATGTTTCATTTCGTTTTTTCCTCAATACATTATTACAGCATGGCCTGCTGAATCTACGAGTTGATTGGAAAATTGTGAGCATCGCAAGAGATTTTAGCTTCCAGATGCTCCTTATCCTCAACTGACAGATGTGCATGTAACTAGGCAACAGTCATCAAACCACAACCTTTAAGATTACTGCTGACTTACAGAACTTCAAAATGAAGTTAATGATGAAAAACACAGTGGCAGCCAATGACGTGTTGTTTCTGTGAACAAATACATTATCTGTGACATTTGCGTGGTTCGGATAGACATCTTTTTTTTCCTTCTCGTTATCAAAAGATC